CCTATATAGACAAGAGACAATTCAACCTGTCTCCTCATATACAGGATGTTCTGTCAATTATGTTACTTGTACCTTCAACTCAGATGTGTGAGAAAAGACAGATACGTTCTCAAATGAATGTGTTTTTTTTTCCTTTGAAGGCAACTTAATTCTCATTTGTTATTGCTTAGAGATGCCTTAGTACTCAAAGTATGATCTATAGACCAGCAACATTCAGCATCACCTGAGAGCTTACTAGGAATACAGAATCTCAGGCCCCACCCTGACCTACTGAACCACACCTGCATTTTAATAAGATCCCAGGTGATTCATATGCACTTTCAAGTCTGAGAAACACTAGAATACTGTCTGCTGGAAGTAGCTCAGATACTGCTATTTCTCATGTCAAATTTATATAGCTCTTAATATAAAGTATAGAAAATAGAGGTATTTCATAATTAACTATCCAATAAAAATCTCTACAGACACGTTTTTCTCAATGCTCCCTTTATGGGTGGGCAGGATTATGGCCAAAGATTGCATCCCCACAGTTGTCTTTGGTGCTATAACTCAAAAGGCTAGAATAGTGCTACTCAAAGTGTGGTTCTTGGTTTGGTTAAGGTGCAGTCGGTCACTGGTTTGTAATCTGTTATTAAGTATAGAAGTTGACAGAAGTGTTATGAAGCTCACTTACCAACCTAGACTAGGTAAATTAATGTGAACAAGAAATAAACTCATTTGTCACATTAGAAACTTTAAGTATCAATATGCAGTGTTAACACAGCGAAGTTTAAAATGGAGAGTCACTAATTTAGTTTTGAGATATGATTCATATACCATAAGACTCAATCTTTTAAAGTATATAATTCAGTTGTTTTTTAGTAGTAGTCACAAAACTGTGCAACCATCACCAATATCTAATTCCAGAACACTTTCATTAACCCCCCAAAAAACCTCTGTACCCATTAGCAGTCACTCTCCATTCACCTGTCTCTCAGTGCCTGGAAACTACCAACCTACTTTCTATCAATGAATTTGCCTATTCTGGATATTTCTTTAAGTGGAGTCATACAATATGGGGACTCTTATGACTGACTTATTTCAGTTAGCATAATGTTTTCAAGGTTCATCCATATTGTAGTATGTCTTGTACTCCATTTCTTTTTGTGGCTAAATAATATCTTATATAATAAAGAGCTAATATGCTAATTAGACTGAAGAGCAGAACGACTGTCCGGACTACTGTCTGGATGAAGCCGAGGCAGCAGGGGCTGTGAGAGCTGAGCCCCTTGCATGAATTTCGTGCATCGGGCCTCTAGTCTTACTATATTACTGTATGGATATAACACATTATATTTATCCATTAATCATGAACTGGGTTGTTTGCTTTTGTGGCTACTAAGAATAATGCTGTTATGAACACTCATATACCAGTTTTTGTGTGGACTTATCCTTTCTTTTGCATATATAGCTATTTGTACAATTGCTGGGTCATATGGTAACAGTTTATTTCTGAGAAACTGCTAGACTGCATTCCACAGCTGCTGCGCCATTTTACATTCCTATAGCATCGTGCAAAGATTCCAATTTCTTCCACATCCTCACCAACACTTATTTTCTCTTTATGATTAGTCATCCTAGTGGATATGAAGTGGAATCTTATGGTTTTAATTTGTGATTTGGTTTGGATAGCTCATTCTGTTGAGCATATTTTCATGTGTTTATCAGCCATTTGTATTTCTTTGAAGAAATTTCTATTGAAATCCTGCCCATTTTTAAATTGGGTTATGTCTTTTATTATTGTACTAGAGGCCTGGTGCATGACATTCGTGCCCTGGGGAGTGGCGGTGGGAGGGCAGTACCTCAGCCCTATCTATGCCCTCTCACAGTCTCGGACCCCTCACGGGATGTCTGCCTGCTGGCTTAGGCCTGCTCCCTGCCATCAGGCAGACATCCCCCGTCAGGCGGACATCCCCCAAGGGGTCCTTAGCACCGTTGCAGAGGTGGGAGAGGCTCCTGCCACTAGTGCTGCACTCGCCAGCCATGAGCCTGGCTTCTGGCTGGGTGGTGCTCTCCCACTAACCACCAAGGGGCAGCTCCTGCATTGAGCATCTGCCTCCTGGTGGTCAATTGTTCCACCTTTTGGTTATAGCAACCAATTGTTCTGACTTTGGTTAATTTGCATATTAGCCTTTTATTATATAGGATTAAAGGAGTTCTTTTATTCTGGATGTAATTGACCCTTATTAGGTAAATTATTTGCAAATATTTTCTCCCATTCTGTGGGTTGTCTTACTAATTTGCTTCTACATTAGTTATACTTATGAGTTATAGTAAGAATTACTTAGACACTATCAATGGACATGTACAATGTGGAGAGCGGCTATAGCATTTAGACAGGTTCAAGCCTCGGACTGACTTGTGACAAAGCCACATACAAGTCCCAGCTTAGAGGGCAAAGCCCTCCCAGCACAATTATAGCCAAAAGGCGATGGCTGTAAGTTTGACCTTATAGTCCGACCCTGAAGTCCTAGGTAGCTAAGGGATGTGGGCTGCCCGGGGGGTTGAGGGGATTGTGTGCAGCAAATGCTGTCAAAACAAGGCTTGAAAGAGTTCAGAGAATGGCAACAACAGGAAAGAAGCAGATTTGAAATTCACAAGAACAGTGTAAACATCTTGCCCTTGTTTTGCTTTGTGTGCTCTGACTATAAAATAAAGCTTCAGCTTACAGGCTGTCACTGTTTCCTCATCCAGGCACAGTGATCCTACCTGGCCCCAACTGTATTCTCTTGTCTGTTTTCTTTAATCCTTCACTGCCCCTCCTCAGGTTGACCCCTGTAATTCTTTTTTTAAACCTCTATTTTCTTCGTTTTATTTTATTTTTTCTTTTTAAAATTTTCTTTTTTTTAATATTTAACTATGTTAAATATATTTATTGAAATGCTAATTTTACATCTGTTGAATTAAGTAAAATTAGGGCATTTTCCTTTATTTTTGTTTTTTCTATTTAATTTTCTAGCAATTCATCTTAATTTTCTTTTATTAAAGTGTTGGTCTATAACAAACTTCACAGCAGGTAGTTTGAAAGCACTGGGTTAGAATGTTTTAGACCTGGAATGTGCCTAAACTTGAGTATATTTTTTTCATTGCCAGCACTTATCTTACTTAGCCTGACTTGGATAGAATTTATATAGAGGTGTTTTATCAACATCTCTTTGGGTCATGAGCCAGAAAAGGTTCTAGGAAAGCTAATCTGGGTCTAAACCCATTTTATTTTATTTCTTACCTGAGCGTATCTACCAGTCGTCTTGCAATGCGCTTTCTTCTCTTAAATCTGAAGACCCAGATCCTACTTATTCCACAGACTGCAGGTACTGGTACATTTGAACATCGCCAAGCCCTATGACATTCTTTAGAGCTTGGGGATTCTGGACTAGTTGGTTCAGACAGGACACGGAAGGCCTGTAATGATATATCGAAGCACCTAGAGTTAATATAGATAAGTTCACATTTCTTTTTAAAAAACCATTCCTTAAACAAAACTTAAGAATTTAGAATTATCCTTCCTATACCTTCACCAAAAATGTTAAAATTCGTTCATATTTATGGAATACTTGTTCTTTTAGCCACACAATGCTTGAAATTTCATTCTCTCCAGCCTAAACTGTATATATGATATTTTAAAAACTGGTAACACAAAGGAGATTTTTACATGTTAACTATGAAATTTGGTTGGCAGCTAAGGTTTATTTATTTAAAAAAATACTTTTATTGATTTCAGAGAGAAAAGGGGAGGGAAATAGAAACATTGATCAGCTGTCTCCTGCATGCCACCTACTGGGGATGGAGCCCACAACCCCGGTCATGTGCCCTGACCAGGAATTGAACCATGACCTCCTAGTTCATAGGTTGATGCTCAACCACTGAACCACACTAGCTGGGTGGCATGTAAGGTTTTTTAAGAAAACTTTGTATTTTGAAATAATTATAGATTCACAGGAAGTTGAAAACTAGGATAGTTTTCCCCAAGGAAACTGTTCCATAACTATGATACAATCCCAAAAGCAAGAAAACATGGGTATAATGTATGTGCATACTTTCATGACCACTCACTACTTTCTATCATTATTTATTTAACCACCACCACACTCAAAATACAGAGGTATTGATTGCATCATCACAAATTCTCCCTCTTGCTACCTCTTTATAACCATACCAGCTTTTCCCTCCACCAGAAAGTATAAGATAAATTTATGCCAGTTTCATTTCAAGATGTATTGAGATAAGTATTTTTAAAAGGAAGGAGACATAAGTGTGCAATATGATAGAGTCAGGTAAGAACACATTTCAACTATAAATCTCTAGCTAAAGATTACCCTGTAAGCTCCTTGAAGGCAAAAACTACTCTCTCTATTCTATATAACTAGAGGCCCAATGCACAAAGATTCGTGCAGGAATGGGCCTTCCTTCCCCTGGCTGCTGGCACCACCTTTGCTCTGGCCTGGAGCCGCCTTTCCACTTTCCCACGCTGCCCAGAGTCCCGGAGCAGCTGGGGCAGTGTGGGACGCCTGCATTATCACCATGGCAATGATGCAAGCGTCCCGCCTGGCTGCTTGGCGCCTGTATATGCAAATTAACCCATTTTTGTTGGGTTAATTTGCATACTCACTCCTGGTTGGCTGGTGGGCGTCATGAAGGCACAATCAATTTGCATCTTTCTCTTTTATTAGTGTAGATAAAAGGGTAATATGCAAATTGACCAAATGGCGGAACAACCGGTCGCTATGACACGCCCTGACCACCAGGGGGCAGACGCTAAATGCAGGAGCTGCCCTCAGCCTGTAGGCCCCGATCACCCGATGGGGGCCTGCCAGCCAACCTCTCAGTTCCTTCCCCTGGCTGGCAGGTTCTGATCGCCTGTCGACAGCTGGGGAAGATGGCCCTGATCACAGGCCAGGCCTAGGGACTGTACCCATGCACAAATTTTGTGCACTAGGCCTCTAGTTATAGAATAAGGGTTAACAAATTGTTCCTGTGAGGGGCCAAATTATATTTTAGGCTCTTTGCACCCATTCTACCCTGCCATTGTAGCAAAAAAGCAACCACAGATAATACAGAAATGAATGAGCATGGTTATGTTCCAATAAAACTTTAATTATAAAAGTAGGTGACAGCCATATTTGGCTTACAGGCAAGTTTGCCAACACCTTTTCTAGAACATTGCTAATTAGTACCTAAAATAGATTCTAGTTAAGGGACAAATCATGACTTTTGCAATAAGCCAATATTCAATAACTGGGCTCTGAATCACCATAGTTTAAAGGCCGGGTAAAGAAATGACTACATGAACATAAGATTGACTTACCCTGTTTATATAGAGCAAAATATCAAATATTAACAGAAATAAATAACTTTAATTATTCATATGGTCAAAAATGTTTTAGTAGGAAAAAATGTTATTTATGGTAGTAGTCTTAAATGCTTGAGACTTATTGAGGCTTTTCCTAACTACTTTATTTTGGACACAAATTATGCCAATAATTTAAAAGACTTATAACATACCTGTTGGATAGGCTCTGCAATTAAACACCCAACTACTTTCTTTTCATCAGATATAAAGAGAAATGTTTTGGTTTTGTTTGGACATCTGGGAACAACTTGCTGAAAGCCCAACTCATTATCGACAAGCTCTTGCACTTCTTCTGCCTAATGACATAAAAAAATCAAAAGAGGTGAATATGTTTTAAAAATTATAATTGCAACTATATGTAATTATATATACAAAATTTATGATTCCTATCATTTTAGCCAATTTTATCTCTATTTCCTAAATTTACAACGCTCCACCCCATCATTTCATTATTGATGCATGTATCTGCCATTTTGGAAACAACAGGTTTCTAAGAACCTATTTTAAAGATCACTTTCAGGAGAAAGACATCCAGACTCCTGGGAGGGAGAAAAGGTAGGAAATGCCAAAACAGATTTTGTTTCAGTTTTATTCATTGTTCACTGGGGCTAAACATCTAGCCCAAGAAACAGGCAAAACTAATATAAGAAACAGACTCTGGGGCCATTCTTCTCTCAATAAGTTTACGTTTTTCACAAGTGGAAGATAAAGGTAAAGTTGTCTTTTTTTGTTGTTGTTAGTCCTCACCCGAGGATATTTTTCCATTGATTTTTAGAGAGTGGAAGGGAGGAGGCAAGACAGAGAGAAACATCGATGTGTCATCCATTGGTTGCCTCCGCACTCACCCCAACAAGGGCCAGGGATGAGCCTGCAACCGAGTTATGTGCCCTTGACTGGAATCAAACACAGGACCCTTCAATGTGCGGGCTGACATAATATCCACTGCGTCAAACTGGTTAGGGCTAACGCTACTGTCTTTAATCTCCAACTGCCATTCCTTTACTTGTAATTCTGAGGCTAGTTTTGTATGAACTAGTATGAAAATCATCCTTACATGTGTACCAAAGTGGATTATCTATCAATAAAAGTAGTTCACACTTCAACATATGTGATTTCTTGGTGGGGGAAATGGAGGAAATGGGAGAACAATTAAAAAGCTAATGTTCCATACCTTTTTGATAGCATAGCTTGGATCATGTGGCAGGACCAACACAATTTTCCCATCCCAAAACTCTGCTACTACACGTTCTCTTTTCCAGCCCTGGAGAAGACAAAAAGAAGAGTAAATGATATTTTAAAAGAAAGAAAAAAATCTAACAAAATAAAACGGGGGAAGGGAAATAAAAGATGCCCCAAACAAAGTGCTTGTTCTCAAGGGGCTGACATCCTACTGGGAGCTATGTATATACGTAATCTATTATGAAACAAGGCAAAGTCAAATAAGTGCTCCTCATAGGAATGTGTAGGATCCATCATACTTACTAACTTGGAAAAGAATAAATTATTAGGAGTGGGAAAGTGTGGCGGGGGGAGGATAATAAAACAGGCTAAAAATATTATGAAGGTATGAACTACCACAAAAAAACGGGGGTGGGGGGGATGATTTGAGTAGCAGGATCAATCATAAAGACAAGGCCCAAAATAGGATGTATTTGGACTAGAAAGTTGCTTGATTGCTTGATAAAGAAACTTCTCTCAGAAAAGAAAAATCCTGGATAAGTCATAAAAAAGTTGTTTTCTAAGGTTATCTATAAAGAAGAAATTAAAATGTTGGTGGTGGTGGTGGTGGGGAATGGGATGACAATCCTCAAGTCTTTTAATTTTGTTGACTGTTCAGCCCTGTTCAGAAAGCTAGAGATAAGAATACAGGGTATTCACGTAACCTAGAACAATACTTCTCTTATAGTAGGATAATTAAAAATGGCACTTTTTTTTAAAAAAAAAAAGTTAACTTTTAAATACTGTCAGCCTCAAATATTAAGAACAACAAAACTGCAGTTGATGATGAAATATATATGGATATACAGATGTTTCAATATTTACGAAAAAAAAAATATATATCTTTTAAAGCACTTTTACTTTTAGAACAAATTGAAAGACTATTTTTTGACTTACTGTGTATTTGATTCCCTCCAGAAATCTGTGGTGATGCTGAACATGCTGCAGTTCATCTTCAGGGTTGGAGGCAGTATAGATCATGCCACAAGACTTGCACATGGTGGCTCCAAAATGTTTCTGACCTGCGTCCTGTTAATGAAGGGGGAGGCCACATCTAAACATATTACAAATAGATCTACATTTAATACATGTAATCACTCATTCAATTTTTCCCTTATTTTTCTTTTATGCTTGCACAAGTGAAATACTAAGTGAAAGCTTGGTTATAATATCCTCCTCACTCCCACCAAACAAAATGAAAAAGACCTTAAAATGCAATCTATATCTATATATATATATAAAACCCTAATATGCAAATAGAGCAAATAGCAGAACAACGGAAAAATCGGTCACTATGACATGCACTGACCACCGGGGGGCGCATGCGGAACATGGTGGGCATCAGCAGCAGGCGGCAGAGCTCGGAACATGGCGGGTGTTGGCCATGGTGGGATGGTGGATCAAGTGAGCGGGGTCGCCAAACCAAGGTGGGGTGCTGGTCGCCGTCATCAGGGCGAGCCTGGCGCTGGCCCTGATTGCTTGGTGCTGTCAGCGGGTGTGAGCAATGGCTGCTGGCCCCGAATGCCCCTTAGGGCTTCTTCACCATCCTCTGCTCCTGAGGGGCGATCGGAGCCAGCAGCTGTCACTTGCACCCACTGATGGTGCTGGCCCCAATCGCTCTCTGTGCCGCCAGAGGGTGAGTGGAGGGGGCTGCCGGCAGACAGGACCAGGGGCTGTGGTGGGAGGGGCCAGGCCTGGGCACGAAGGATGGGCCAAGACCTGCCCCTGTGCCCATCACAGCCTCACCACCCACAGTTCCTTACAAGGTGCACAAATATGTGCACTGGGCTGTAGTAAATTAATAAAAGAAATGGAATTATCTCTTGGAATGGACAGTGTTATTAAAAAAAAAAAGAATCTCCTGGCTGGAGTGGCTAGTGGTTGAGCATCAACCTATGAACCAGGAGATCACGGTTCGATTCCTGGTCAGGGTACATGCCTGGAATGCAGGCTCGAACACCAGTGCGGGGTGTGCAGGAGGCAGATGATCAATGATTCTCTCTCATCATTGATGTTTCTCTCTCTTCCTCCCGTTTCCTTCCTCTCTGAAATCAATAAAAATATATATATTTTTTAAAATCAAGATTCAAACGAAAGAAAAAAAAAAGAATTAAAAAAACCTCAAGATTCTTTAGCTAGATAGATCCATAGTTCTAAGAAGTAAAAGATTAAATCATAAAATTTATAGCTAAGATTAATGGAAACTTCTTTATTAAGCTCTTAAATAGGGATCTAAAAGCCTTATTTCAAAGAGGAAGGGCAAAAATTTTAGGACTTCTATATTCATTATGTATTTTTTTCCACAAGTGTTTAGGAATATAAAAATCCTTTTCCCCAGGAGTTGATAAAAATAAATACAATACATAATAGTTAAGGGAAAGCACAGATAAATTAACAAATATATATAGGGAAGTCAGGAATATTCAATGTCATGGCTCATTAATGAACCTGCATTCTATCTAATAAGGCTTTGCTTAATGCTACTGAAAATACTAAGTTCTGAAAAGTCTAATACAGGACCTGGCAAACTTTTTTGCAAAGAACCAGATAGTAAATATTTTATGCTTTACAAAGCACACATGATTTGTCACATATTCTTTTCCTTTCCCCAACCTTTTAAAAATGTAAAAGCCATTTTAAGTCCAAAGGCCATGGTCCAGATTTGGCCAATGGTCACAATTTGCCAAACCCAGGTCTAATACAATGTAGCTATTTTCATTAAATCTTTTGCTCATCAACAATAATCTTCCTAATCTGAAGACAACTCACTCACCAGCATTCTGCTCAATTACTAGTTTCGCCCAACACTATCAATTTGAAAATATACTTGACTAGCTTTAAGTGCTGCCACTACAACAAAGCTGGCATTTACAAACTCAGAATATCTATAACCCATATTAACTATGCTAAGACAACAGGTTCTATTTGTGAGAGCCACGGACAGGAGGGGCTTTGTTTTGAATCTACTCACAATGATGAGCTGGTTTTTCATTTCTTTGTTTGCATCTCTGGCATTAATACTTTTCTGTGTATTGGTCTGTTTCAGAAAGTTAGGTGTGGTGGATGCCGCAGAAGGCTGTTCTCCAACTAGAGATCTTAAAATAGAAAGTTGATAAACATTATTTAATCTGCAGAGCACCTGACAATTTTTAGTGCTTTTTATAGACAATAACTTGATAAAGTAATAATATCAGAAACAAAGAGAAACCTCAGAACCACTCAGAGAGGATTCGTAATTTACTCAGGGTAAAGTAACTAGTAAAGAATGGTGGGAACTCAAATCCTCATCTTATAACTACAAACACGAGGGACTTTCATCTACGTTATCAGATGCACATATTCAGGATCCCTTAGTAACTTGATTTCACTTGTAAAAACTAACATTTTGTTTGCTTTATCAAGCCTTAGGATATTTCATCATGTAGGTCTATAGAAATTCCTGGAATACCACACAAATAAGTACGCTCTAATATTAAAGCTTACAGGTTGGTCCACAGGAAGTTAGCCATCAGCATATAAACATCTTTTTACTTGGGCAGTGGTTGAGGCGAATACATGCACTTGTTCTCAAATTCCTAGATGTTGAGGAAACTTTTTCCCATTAGGAAACAATGTATGAGGTTGCAGGTTGAAGCCCCCGCCCCAGGCTAAAGTCAGCTAGCAGATATGTTTAGAATGACTCCCAGGGTGTTGAAAGCTTTGGATGAGCTACCAGTATTTTAAAAATCTAGAGATTTCACTTAAAACTATATATTTCTAACATTGCAAGAGACACTATAAGATCTCTCTCTAGACCTCTATTTCTTCAAAGAACCTACTATCAATCTACACAACACACGCTCTTTTAGATGGGCATGCATTCTCCAGTTGGCTCCAGTCTCCACCCAGCCTGGCTGGCTCTGCAGGCATTTGAGTTGGTAACCCTTGCCTTAGAGTAGAGGTAAGAGAAAATAGGCAAGGAAACAAACCAAGTGCCTAAAGCAAGAGATTCAAACAGAAAAAAAAACGTGATAAGGAAACACTGAGAAAAAAATTGTCTAATGCTTTAAGCTAAGCCAAACTGTTTTATGATCACTGTATTAGAATGGCTTTCACAGTGACTTCACAAACCTATTGTAAGAATTATATTTTACATCATGACCAATAGACACACAACTAAAAAAATGTTTCACTAAGCACACTACGAGAGCTGCATTATTCCATTTAAATGCTGGATATAATGCCCTTTAACTATTTGACAAGCTATTAATGGTAAATACCTGTATATAGAAAACACTAGGCTAGGCTGTTGACACCCTCTTCTTTATGCAACCTTTGCTAAGGTGACTCAGTGTTTCCCATCCAAGCATGCACAGCTGCAATCTCTTTACTTCTATCTTAGCAATTTTAACACTTTATTATATGTGCTCATTTAAATGCCTATCCTCCTGTTATCGTAGCAGGACCATGTACTATTTATCTTCACAGCTCTAAAAACTCAGTATCGTTCAGTATCACATAGTACTCTATAAGTGTTCACCAAATAAAAGAATAAACAAACAAAAAATGAATGTGAAACTGTGAACCAGAGAATCTGTAGTCTACCTAAAGTAATAGATTAAACCACAAGAAACTGATGATATTTGACCTTTTGGGTCCTACATAAAGAGCTATTTCAAATGACTCAACCAATAGTATCCTAATATCTCCCTATGCCAGATTAAATTAGTTTACACACCTTTACCAGCTAATTGTGATAGATTTCAATGCTTAAGAAACAGTCATGAAGGAAGACATAGTTGAGAAAAGGGAAAGGTGAAAAAAATAGGACTATGGCCTTTGAAGAGGGAAAGCTGTCCACCCAACCCAATCTCTCAGGTGATTTAAGGTGAGGAACCCCTAAGAATAGGAGAACTTAGCTAGGAAGTGCCTTTCTCAATACCTGTAGTTATTTATCATAAAATGGGAAGAGAAGTACCAAAGCTTCTTAGCAAGATGTTCAGACCATAACAAACTTCTTTTCTAGCACTTTGCACCTACCATGCTCACATCTATCCATGCCTCCCCACATCCCACTCAGTTTTGACCAGGATAGGGCTTCAGCTGGAGTTTATCAAGCTGCTGCAAATTACTTACTCCTCTTGCCTGAGTTTCTCATCTATAAAATGGGGATAATAATGGTACCTACAACATAAGGTTGTAAATGCTCATTAAACATTAACCATTACTAATATAGTGTCACCCAGGGAAGGCAATATAGCCTAATGGACTTTGATTCAGATGTGGAGTCTAGTCCTGGCTCTGCCACCTATTAGCTGTGTAACAGTGGCTAAATGACTAAGTTTCCTCAGCAAAAAATGTAATTGATAATTCCATCTTCCTTCTAGGTCGTTGTGAGGACTAAGTGAGATAATGGATATAAACTGCTTATTATGGGCCAGGTTATACATAAAAGTGTTAGCAATTATAAAGACCTTTCTCTTCTCTCAAGCTCATAAAAATCTTTTTTCTTCTCTCAACTCAGGTTCTTAGGAAGTTTCTATGAAAAGATATTTCATCTTCTATCCTTAATTTCTCCTTAGTGGAAAAGGAAAAATTGCTCTCCAAATTAAATAGGACAAGAAAGAAAAAGATCCATAGGACTCATCTATATACATAAAAGCCAAGCGACTGGAACTACAGAACAACTGGAAGGACTAGTTGCTATGATGCACACTGTGGCGGCCAACCAGCCTGGGGAGGGCCGGCCTGACCCCACCCATGCACGAATTCGTGCACCAGGCTTTTAATAATTGAATACTCATAGAACATTAAAATAAAAACAATTCCTACCTTTTTGTATTGACTGAAGACGCACTGAAGATGGGATAGACAATGGATTCAGATGAAACTGGTAGAAGGAAAAGTTGACAATAATTTGTATTACAAAATAAACACAAAGCTTTATATCTTAAGATTTTAAAGGCTTATAAAACCAAAATACATTACTTAAGTTAAGATGTAAGAGCAATCAAGACAGTATGATATTGGCAAAAAGATAGACAAATAGATCAATGGAACAAAATAGAGAGCCTAAAAACAGACCTCTGCAAATAAAATCAACTGATTTCTTACAAAAAGACAAAGGTACTTCAATGGAGAAAGGAATGTTAACAAATGCTGGAACAATTGAACATCCATATGCAAAAGAATGACTATACTTACATATACAGTGGGGCCTTGATTTACGAGTGTCCCAATTAATGAGTATTTTGAGATACCAGCTATCTCTCTGCCGATTTTTTGCTTTGAGTTGACAGAGTAATTTGAGTTAATGAGCTCCTTAATGAGCTCAGTGTTGGAACGAATTAAACTCGTAAGTCAAGGCCCCACTGTACTAGTATACCCATGCTCAAAATGGATCACATATTTAAATGTAAAATGTGAAGCAATAAAACTTCTAGAAGAAAACATAAGAGAAAAATCTGCATGAACCTGGGTTTAGTGCTAAGTTTTTACACAAAAACACAATAGATGAAAGAAAAATTAAGTTGGAATTTATAAAATTTAAACATTTTGCTCTGCAAAATATTATTTAAGAAAATGAAAGGACAAGCCACAGACTGGGAGAAAATCCTATTTCTGATCGAGGACTTGTATCCAGAATACAAAAAAAAAACCTCTTACAACTCAACAATAAGAAAATAGTCCAATTCAAAATGGGCAAAAGATCTGAATAGACAGTTCAATAAAGATATACATGGGAAATAAACATAAAAATTTTTTTATAACTACTGTAAATAGAAAGCCATTATTTTTCTGTTACATGTTCCATTGTATCAGTGATAACACAACCTTGGTCAAACATAATGCATACTAAATACTTAGCACTGCCTGGTACATATTCAGCATCCAGTAATATTAGCTATTACCATTATGAACAATCATTACATACAAATATTTATAGAAATAGGTATTTATAAAATTATATCCTATATAATAAAAGCCTAATATGCTAAGTGTCTGACCATTCCACCATTCAACCAGTCGCTATGACACACACTGACCAACAGGGTAGACATTCCAATTGGTAGGTTGGCTTGCTGCTGGGGTCCAGCTGATCGGGATTGGACGCTACGGCTAGACACACCCTGGAGCCCTCCTGCGGTCCTTCCCTGGCCCTGATCATGAACTGGTGGGGTCCTTCAGCCTGGCCTGCACCCTTTTGCAATCCGGGATCCCTCGGGGGATGTTGGAGAGCTGGTTTCAGCCCAATCCCCACAGGCCAGGCTGAGGGACCCCACCGGTGCAAGAATCCGTGCACTGGGCCTAAAGTTCATATATAAATAAAATTAGGTCCTTATAAGGGTTATTGTTCTAGATTATGCTTTTAGTTTTTATATATTTTTTTGTTTTCTTCCTATGAGCTAGTTTCTCACCATATATAATCAGTATGTCTACTCCTAGAATTTAATTCCCTCAATTTATAAATATAACTAATGAAGTTATCAAGAATCTATAAATAGAATGTTAATTAACCTCTTTATAAATTCATAGTTTAGTAAACACTATTTAATTGAACAATGACACCATAAGTTAATAACAGAATTTCAGAATGAAGAGGAATTTACAAATTATGACTAACCCCTTACTTTAGAGATCTCTTCTCTAGATCACACAGTTAATTAGTGGCAGACCTAGACAAAATCTCAAGGTTCCTGATGCTCGATTCAGTGTCCTTTCCATGGCTTAGTAAATTCCACTTACATCTGGGCTTTGATCAAATCTATAGCATAAATTGTTTTTAGTCTTTCCAATTATTTAATAGGGTAAAAGATAGGTAGGGTAGGTATGAAAACACCTAGCTCTAGGGTGTTTAAAGTAACTTGGCCAATGCCCATAGACCAGGGGGTGGGCAACGTTTTTGTGAGTGAGTGCCAAAACCAGCAAAATCTCTGACTCAAAATTCTTCTGCGTGCCAACCCTAATTTTTTGAGAACATGTTATGCCTACTTGATATCTCTTAAGGTGTACGTATGTGAAGAACGTTGAAGAAATAATAAAATTCATTCGAGCGACAAAAATACAGTATATGATGATGAAAAATACATTTCTTTTTTAATGTATACATGCTATGTAAAATTATTTATTTATCTAAGATGCACCTACACTGAATTTATCTGAAAAATAAAAAAGTTGATATTAAGAAAAATTTGTAAATGTAAGATTATATGAGAGGGTTTCGCGTGCCAGCAAAAGTTACTGGCATGCCATGTTTGGCACGCGTGCCAGGGGTTGCCCACACCTGCCATAGACCAATTAAACATCAATATTTTGTCTTAAGTTCCAGTCTTAAGGCCTTCTTGTCTCCTCCTTTTTAAAATGCACTGCATTAGAAAACAAACAACAAACAAACCCCCAAACAAAATTCACTGCATTGCTCATCACATAAAATAGTGTCACCAAAATAAACACAAAGATACAAACGCAGGCACACATACTGATATATATATATATATTAAAAAACACATTATTGTATATGATTTTATATTGATACATGTAATGAAGTATTATCATTAGTTAATAAACTCATTTTGAGAAGAGACGTTTTCTCTTACCTGCCTTGTTTTCACTGTGAGAATCTCCTGAAGAAAAACACTTATTTTCTTCAGGTTTATACTCCCTCGAAGAAACTACTTCACTCGATGAATCCTGGAGCTAATGAATAGGTAAAATTTAAGAAAACTTGTAATTCTTAATCAGTTTCCACTTATATTGAATGAATTCCAATAGATATTTCTAAAACAAAGTATCTAGTTTATTATGAATTACTTACTTTATAACATGATTTTAAATTCTCAATTTTCATCCTATTTTAAGGAGAATTTCCTGTATACTTACTAAGTGCACATAACCTTTTAAAAGACAGTGTGGCCTGGGCCGGTGTGGCTCAGTTAGTTGAGCATCATTCCATGCACTGAGAGGTTGCTGGTTGGATTCCCAGTCAGAGCACATGCCCAGGTTGGGGGCATGCAGGAAGTAGCCAATTGATATTTTCTCTCTCAATGATGTTTCTCTCCCTCCTTCTCTCTCTCTCAAATCAATTTAAAAACAAAAAAGTTAAAAGACAAGTCTGTAAGTTGTCATCCTATCAAAAATAAATTATAATCCTGAAAAAGATGGCAGACTTAAGCTGATTGAACATCCTTTCTGTAATTGAACAAAAACAAAAATTAGTGAAAATGGCAAATTTCCCCAGTAGCCACCAAACTGGAAAGGGACCTTTTGTCATAAGGTTTAAAAACAGGCAGCAAACGAAAGAAAAAGAACTTTCTGGAGTAGTTGGGGAGGCTTCTAACTCCACTTTTTGGGCAGAAGCTGGGAAGTGGAAAAAGCAAATTAGAAAAAAATTCTGACAAATTTTACTAACACTATAGTTTGGTGAGACTTAGAAAATATATAGTTTGGGGAAAAGGAAAAAAACTTTTGCTTGAAGTAGAACTGCTTTACAAGACCATATCACAGTAGAGATGGGACAATCCATCAGTTTGCCATTTTGTAGGGCTCCATAATGAGCTGGGGAAAGGTTTTAACCCAAGTGGGAAAGCAGGATTCACCCCTAGCTAGTAGAAATGAATACTAGTGGGTATTTAGCAAAATCCTGAGAGGAGAGCCTAGTTCTACAAATTTAAGATGCATAAAGGTGCAGCTTCTCAGACTGATGACAACTAGATAGAATCCAATATCCAGCCCTTTAAGATGATGTTCAGAGAATAAAGCAGAAAAGAGCATTCAGAGAATTTGCCATGTCACTCTGCCAAACAGATATAGAGAATACTAACTAGGAGATGACTGGGTGCTCCACTTTGTTTTGCTGGATTGAGAATTAATTTTAGTTTGAACGGTCCCCCCCAGTTTTTAAAAATTTAGGCACTTTATATACAGTGAAGTGCACAGATATAAAGTATACAGTTTGATGAGTTTTGATAAACTTATATACCTATGTAACTTAAACTCAAAACTCCCATCAAGATATAGGTTTTTGGCCTGGCTGTTGTGGCTCAGTGGTTGAGCGTCGACCTATGAACCAGATCAGGGTGCCCGGGTTGCAGGCTTGATCCCCAAAAGTGGGTGTGCAGGAGGCAGCCAATCACAATGATTCTCTCTCATCATTAATGTTTCTATCTCTTTCTTCCTCTCCCTTCCTCTCTAAAATCAATAAAAATATATTTAAAAATATATATACATACATATGTATGCTTCTCTTGTTCTCTATATAATCAATAAAAATATATTAAAAATAAATATATATATATATATATACACACACATACCTATATATATTAGGCTACACATTTTTAAAAAAAACTTTTTAATGTGGCCATAAAAAATTTTAAATTACATGCAGCTGGTATTTTATTTCTATCAGACAACACTAGTCTGGGCTAGCTGTGTTCAATTTATGAGCAAGATCAAAAAGCATAGAATGGCAACCATGAAAACATACTACATAAAATAAACAAAAATCCAACTAGCTATATGTTAACAGTGACCATCCCCAAGAGATCATCTTCTGTGATCTCTAAATTTTCTAGAATCTAGTACTTTAAATAAGCTAAAACAAAAACCATATGCTCACACGCTGGAAACCTCCTACATGAATTTTGTTATTTCTACTTTCTAAAAACACTATCAAATAAAAGATGTTAAGCTTCTCTGGACTTTAGTTTCGTCATGAGGAAATTTAATAAAATGTATACCTTAATGCCAAGGAAATGTTGGTAGGCTTCCTTAAGCCCAAAAGGGAGAAATGTCCTCTTTCCATCCTGCCTCTAAATTCTTTAGTGATTAAACTATACTATTTGGTTTCACAAAAGCAGTCCTTCAGACTACAAAGAAAATAACATTTTGTTCAATTATGTTACATATATAGTATGTATATTGAAGCTTTGCTATATGTATATAGTTTTGTTAGTTTTTAAAATGTTTCGTTTTCTTTACCTTTATTAATTTCTCTTCATTTTTATTTCTTATACCCAGCAGCTCAATGTTCAGTTCCTTTTCTAGCAACAAGCACTGTGGCACTTGCCTTGTCTCAAAACTTTTTCTTTCATTGACTGTCTCTACATCAGAATCTTTAATCACTTCTGATTTATTCTCTTGGTTGAGTCCCAGTAATGGCTTGTTTTCCAGAGACAATTTTCTAAGAGAGGATTTTTTCCTAACAAAAAATGCTGCCCCACCCTGGAGGCTTC